AACCTACTTTTGCCATCCCAAAAGAGAAAAAACAAAAAGAATGAACAAATCTGTCCGCAAGTGCATTTGGAATGCTGAATGGCTAGACTTCATCTCATCAACTTTGGTCATGTTGTTGGAGAGACCATTCCCTATCATGCTCGGTAATGTAGAGGGTCAGCAAGAAAGTGGAAGAACCTTAACAAGACAGATTGGCACAGTAGCTGCAACAATGCGCTCAAGCATAGCAGGGACTGAAAGGATGGCACAGGATTGGTAGTGCTTCATTCTGTTGTATCTATCATACATACCTGATATGAGTCAAAGCCAACCCAATGGCACATGTTGTTGTTGTTGTTATGTGCCGTCGAGTCAGACCCGACTCATAGCGACCTCTCCCTGGGTTTGCAAGGCAGTATCACTACAGAAGTAGATTGCCCAACCTTCATCCCGAGGAGTGGCTGGGGGGTTTGAACCGCCAGCCTTCTGGTTAGCAGTCAAGTGCCTTAGGCACTACACTACCAGAGCTCCCCAATGGCACATAAGAACAACAAATTATAAAGTTGCATGTTAAGAAATAATGTAGATCCTAATCAATATCCTAATCCTGTATTATGCTCAGTTTGATATTAATAGATTAGTTATTTGTAGTCATACTATTAATGACCTTCATTTTATATTAATTTTTCTAGATATGATGATTACCGATTATTGTATTGTGCCTCCCCGCCCAGATATGTATTTTTGTGTGGAGGATCTGAATTTGTTAGTTTACGTAATCAACATTCTACCAGTAACACTTTAGCTTGGGCTACCTGTGTTGACAGATGGAGAATGATGGGACAATGTATGATAGATATTCTTGGAGTTCCTTTATATGTGCACAGTGCCCAGACAGCTACTTATTAAACTTTAGTCATGTTAAGTATTTCCATATCACTGAAAGTTGACCCTTTCAGAATTTTCATTCCATCATTTGAAATAGCTAAATTAGAAGTCTCAATCAGAATCTTATCCATAACTATGGTTTAAATTGCTGATGAGATCTTTGAGGGCATGACTGATCAACAAAGATCATTAAATTCTTTAGCTAAAGTCATCCCTGGTAATCATACTGCCTTAGATTTTTGCTAGCTCAACAAAGCAGAATATGTATCATAGTGCAAAAATGGCATGGGGCGGCATCTTTTGACCTCCTCCAATTTCACGAGGGGGCAACAGAGTCACCATCAATAGCTCAAGGCTTCTTCCTATGACACCAGACATATCACCTCCCTCCAAAATTTTACTAAGTCTAACACCAGCCTTCCCTCCCACAGCACTCACTACTCTGCTGAGTTTGATAATTCATTGCAATGGCCACACAGAACTCACAGGCAACACTCACAATTATGTGGGTTTATTAGGGTTACAACTCAGGTTCAGGAAAGCACTCAGGACAGAGTTCTTTAATCAGGTCAATCTCCTCTCTGCTGTGGCCTCAAGCCTCTCTGATCCCTGGCCTCTTGGCCTGGTCTCTGCCCAGCTCAGGGAAATTGTTAAAAAGTTCTTTTAGTTCTGCCGATAGATACATGTAGGTACACCCCACTCTGCCAGCAAGCCTCCTGCCCAAAGTCACCTGGCTTTCTCACTCCATAGCCCAGAAAGCCCACCACTATGTCTCGTGCCTCTTGATTCCACTGTCGCCATCTCTCTCTGCCAGTGCAAGGATCTTGGGCCCAAGGAAGCACTCCACTCTATATCTCCTGCACTCCACTTTAGGCGCTTCTCTCTTGATGGCAGTAAGATCTCCTTTCTACCTCTAGGAGGTCTCATTTTAAGTTTGGCAGAGTGACAAAACTAACCAATTCCAACATCAGAGTTCCATACACCATATTTGCATGGTCCTACCCAGTAATCTTTGTGACTACAAAGACCATGGCTAGAAAAGCCATACTAAGTAATTCACTGTACCAAAAATAGCCAACACATTTTGTTGTTCATGGGTAAACAATATTGGAGTTGTAAACAAAATATTTATAAAATTAGACTCTAAGCCACCTGGTTACATGCTGTTACCAAAAAACCAAACCAAGTGCCATCGAGTCAATTCTGACTCATAGCGACCCTGTAGGACACAGTAGAGCTGCCCTATAGGATTTACAAAGCTGTAAATCTTTAAAGGAAGCAGACTGCCTCATGTTTGTCCCATGGAGTGGCTGGTGGGTTCAAACTGCCGACCTTTTGGTTAGCAGCCAAATGCCTTTACCACTATATAACCTGAGCTACTTTACATGCTATTAAGCATATGAATTACCTGATTTATTTAATTGGCTTCCAAATGGTATATGATTACAAGGGCTCTTTGTCCTTCTAGTGATCATGCTGTACCATGCTTGGTGAAGTGGAGGGTCAGTGAAAAAGGGGAAGACTGTCAACCACATGGACTGACACAGCAGCTATTACGACGGGCTCAGGTCTAGCAAGGATTGTGAGTGTGGCAAAGAACCAAGCAGTGTTTCATTCTGTTGTATATAGGGTTGCTATGAGTCGGAGCCAACTCGATGGCACCTCTCAACAACATGCATAGAACGGTGTGTCCATTTGGTTTCTCACACACGACATTTAATGGACCTGGATGTTATACCAATGTCCACTCTTTCACCCCTTTAACAACTTAAGGCTAGGCTCCAGTTTGACACAGCTATATCAACTGTGGTGAAGATCTAGATCTGCCCTGGCTGCTAAGTTACCCTTTGGTGTCTGTTCATTGAATGCAGTCTGAAATGTCTTGATAAAACAGCCGATGGGGGAGCAGACTCAGTGAGCATGTCCAGAGGCAGCTGTGAGCAAAGGAACAACAAAGTTGTCCTTGATCAACAGGAGGAATATTGTGAAGGCCTAAGGGAGCTCTGGTAGCATAGTGGCTAAGGCACTTGACTGCTAACCAGAAGGCTGGCGGTTCAAACCCACCAGCCACTCCTCAGAAGGAAGGTTGGGCAATCCTACTTCCGTAGTGATACTGCCTCGGAAACCCAAGGAGGGGTCGCTATGAGTCGGGGCCGACTTGACGGCAAATAACAACAACAACAACAAAGGGGGTCTGTCACTTTAGGGTTACCAAACAGCAAAAGCACTAAGAATCTAAATGACTAGCCACTCTTATTCAACCAAGTTTAAGAAGGCAAGGGAACAAACAAAGCTTTTAAATCTATACTATTAAAGATCTCTGACCAAAGAAAATGCTTATCTGATGCTAAATGGTACCTCTGTTGTTCTTGTTCTCTCTGGTAAAAATAACTTACCAGTTACCTCTGAGTTGACCTATCAGAACAATGTGGCCACATCTGACAAAGTATTAACTGAGACCATTACCTTGTTTTCAACCAATAACATTTAGACAAGCAAGCCATAACCCTCAAGACTATGCCACCTGAATGAAGCTGTGGTTCCTTCTTGTGGATGCTCAGTTTCCTCACTGCAGTGATCTATTTTCTTCTCTTTTAAATTATTCCACTGTATTAATTAATCTGAAATAAGTCTTTGTTGTAATTTCACAGCAGTTTGTACTCTGTATGCCAGAATATGTCCATACAGTGAAATATTATTTGCAATAAAAAGGAATGTAGTACTGATACATGCTACAACATTGACAAAACTTGAAAACATTATACTAAATGAAAGAAACCAGTCATAAAGACCACATATTGTATGATTCCATTTACAAGAAAAGTTCAGAACAGACAACTCTATAGCAAGAGAAAGTAGATAAGTTACCTAGGGCATGGAATGGCAGTCAGATAAACAGGGAGCTACTGCTAATGGGTACAGGAGTTTCTTTGTGGGGTGATGAAGATATTCTAAAATTATTAAGATAATGGTTGCACAATCTTATAAATATACTAAATACCACTGAATTGTATATTTTAAATGAGTAAACTCATTGAATGAATGATATGTGAATTATATCACAATGATGTTAAAAAATCTTAAGGGTTGAATCAAGGATATAACTTCAAGGATTTTGATTCAACTGGATAATTAATCTGGTTAATTAACAGTCAATCTTGTCATGCAAGTAATTTTGATTGTTATTTTCAATGACGTTTTTAGAGAATGGAACTGAAGTTCTTCTTTATCTTTAACATTAGGAAAATTAGAAGAAAGCAATTGTTAGTATCTGTCTTTAATTCATCATAGTACACCTTTTCATATTTTATGTCAGGAAATACTGTAAAGAAATACCAAATTCATACTAAATATAACAATTTTTATTTCATGTGCTCTACAAGCATCTCATTCACCAGATTATTTTAAAGATGGAGTAATAAGACTAGACTCTACTCATTTTGCCTTCAGATTCACTTTTTGAAATGTCACAATTATTTCACATAGTTGACACTCAAAAGACAGAGGGTTTATTAGTCTTTTTTTGCAATAAAAATTATAATATCTAAATGATAAAATTTAAATAAAAAGGTCTCTGCACAGTATCACTGAATGGGGAAAGAAGCAATGAATAAAAAAATAGGAGAGAGAAAATTTTGAGAAAACGCATATCAAATTCAGATTTTTCTCATCTCCAAAATACACAATTAGAAAAAATAATAGCAACACATCACCACTGATGCTCAAAAATTTGTTTCATCACCTTCTTTTCTGCTTCATCCAGATACTTTAAATTTTATAAAAACTCAAATATATGGCTTTAGAAGAATAACAAATGAAATTATTTCAAAGATTTCTCATGATCTCTCCCATATCAAAGCAGAGCAGACCAGAAATCCTTCTGGTCTGAAACAATAAGCTCCACATGGTTTACAACAAAGAGATAAGTTTGGAAATCAGCTTTCAATACTTAGTCCCAAGGCAGAAACTGAAACAATGGTTAAGAGTAATAATAGAGATGGCTGTTATTGTGAGGCAGTCTTTCTTTCCAGAATTATACATTTTAGACACCTTAACACCTTTTCCTAAATAATCGCTCAGGGTTTTGATTTTAAGTGGAGAATGAAATACTGTTAGTTGATTTCAGATTCTTATCATGGATTTTTCAAAGTCCGTCTGTATACAGAAGCAAAATTATGGATGGCGATTCGAAGTGCCAAGTTTCCCTCAGGAATATCACAGGAACTGATCACTGAATGTAGTGCCCGATTATATGCTGCAAATAAAGGTTTGAATAGTGATGAATGAAGTCAAATTCTAAACAATTTTCCCAGCCTCTTTCCTCTGTACTACTTCTCTACCCAGAATTCCATAGGTACTAACTTTAACTATTGCGGCATTGTAAATTACATAGTGTGACTTTTCTAGCCATAAGTCTTTGTAAACTCTGTGGTGGAATTTGCCATGAGCAACTGAGTAGCTCCTAACTGTTAAAGCTATCCACCTGGGGAATTTCTATTGAGAGGGGCATGAAACAATCTTTTGGGAAGTTCATTCTCTTTCAGGGGTATAGAATTTTGATGTTGGGATTGGTTAGTTTGGCCACTCTTCCAGGCTCAAAAGGAGCCCTGCTAGAGGCAGGAGTCTCTGATTGCTGGCTGAGAAAGATGTACTGCTGAGAGAAACGTGCTGCTGAGAGACATGCACTGCTGGGAGAGAGGTTGAGAGATGGCTGGCTGAGAGAGATTAAGCATGTTCCTGAACTTGAATTGTAGCCTGGTGCTTCCCTAATAAACTCTATAATCTGTGAGTTCTGTGTGCCCACTACAGCAAATTATTGAACTCAGCAGAGAGGTGGTGTGTGCTGTGGGAGGAACTGCTGGTGTCAGGATTGGTGAAAGGGCTGGAGGGAGGCAGCATGTCTGGCCTCATAGGAATAGGCTTTGGGCTACTGATAGTGATTCTGTCTTACTCTTATGGGATTAGAGGAGGTCAGAAGATGTGGCCTCCTGGCCTCTTTGGCAACTAACCATTAAATAAATATTTCGTGGAGTACTTAATACACGCCAAGCACTCTGTGTGGACAGAAAAGATAATGGATAGACACAAAAATAATTAAACTGCAGTGAAATGCTTTCAAACCAGAGGCATATACAAAATGTCATCACAGAATGAAATTGGGAATGAATCAATAACAATCTGTAAGGCTATGAAACAGATTTCCAGTAATGGTAACATTTAAAATGGGTCTTAAAGAAGAGTAAAGAAAGAAGGGCATTCTAGACAGAAATGAGTGTGTGAGGTACACAATATGTAATATTGTGATATATTCTAGGAATAGTAAGTTTGATAAGTTTGGAGTGTGACCTGGAGCTAGACAAAAAACATGTCCTCATAAGCATTGTGTACCTTAAGTAATGGGAAACCCTAGAATTTTTAGAAGAGGGAAATGGCACGATCAGATTTATGTTTTTAAATATATAACTCAAAGGACTAATAAGTAAATCATATTACACAGATGGGGCACCAGAAATACCAAGACTGGCAATATTTTCTGTGTGTACAAAAGCCTACATCATCTCTAGACTATTAAATCAGAAACAGAAGCTTTAGTGATAACAGTAAGGACTCCATTTTCTCCTGTTGGGACTCCTGATAAAGATGGAGCTTATACTGTTCCCCATTTCTCTCAGTGTCCCCTGGCAGAATTGGTAGTCTTATGTAGATACATATAAGGTAATAAGAATATGTTAGATAGCATTAAAATATGTGGATAACAAGGAATACAAATGAACAAAGCCCTAACTTAGGTAGCCATGAGGTAAGCTCTAATATTCTTTAATTAAAGGAAGACTGGGATTTCAAGTTCTCTAGAGTGGAGTTAGCTTGAAAAGTTTTGCAAGTATGAATGCAGATAAGAAGGTAACAGATCTCAAAGAGAAAGATAACTCAGTATAATTATTTTTATTGTCTCACAAAGTTTTTATATAAAAGAGTTACAAGAATTTCTCATATACAGTAAGCACTCAAGAAATGCTAAGTTACTATTACTGTTACTACTACTTTTATTATTTTTTAAACTACCATCAGGCTTCAATTATTCTTTCAAAAAAAACTTACCTCTGTGGTTTTTGTAGAAAATACAATTGTTGGCACAGGTATCAGGATGAGCATCCCAAAAATCCTGACCACAACAGCACAGTGCAGGTAAAGTAATATTATACAGCTGCATTTTCTCCTGGATCTGGGCTCTTAATGCTTCTACGTATCTATAAAAATACAGCATTATCAGGCAAAGTCAGCTACAAGGAAGAGAGTAGCATGAGTTCACTGAATGAATAGTCCTGGTTTTACTACCAGCTTTAACTGTTAATATCTATGTGCCTTGATTCTTCCTCTTTGTATTGGGGAAAAGTACTGGGAAAAATGCACTACTATTTCCTAGGCGGTATTAAGTAAACAAGAAATTTGGTGAAGTTTTGTATTGCTCACTGAAAAAAAGGGTGAAAAGACATTCAATTTCCTTTAAAGGAAGTTGTAAGAAACACTATGATAGAACTCTGACATCCCACCAAGTCTCAGCTAGAGCCAGAATTTCATGCAGAACTTTTCAAAGTACCTTAGGTATTCTTTTTCTCTCTGTTTCTGTTTTTCTCTTTCTCCTTTTATTTCTTCAAGCTGTAGTTGAGCTAATATGTCACTCATCTCCTCTGAATATGGTTCTTCATGGCAGCTCATTCTTAAGATCCTCTGTTCTTCAGCATAACGTTCCTGCTCTTTCTTCTTCTTAATTCTGAAAATAAAATCATAATATGATTAGGAATTTCATAAAATCATTACTTAGAATGAGCTTCTAGATTCAAGTAACTCAAGACATTTCCAGACACCAGGGAGTCAATAAATCACTTTTAACACCCCAAGAATGTCCTCAATAATTTCTGAAAGCTGACTTGAATTTATCCTACAACTCATCTGTATACATAGGCTCTCAAAGTAAAATGGCCAATGGTTATTAATATTAATAAAGGAATTTTTCTGTAGAAATTCTAGCATGAAAGCCTTCTTAGGTTAAAATTATAAGTAGAGAGGACTTCTACTTTTTCCTAAAATGGAATAATAGGAACCAGATTTGCCTTCCAGCCTTAAACAAACTGTATCTATATATCTGTATCTATATAGTAGTTTTCAAGACACTGGAAACCAGGTAATGAAAGACAGTGATCACTATAAGATGGGAAACAAACAAGGTGAGCTTCATAATTACCCTAGTTCACTGGCTCGAAAGTTTTCAGTCAGGGGCATAAGGTAGGGGAATTGAGGTGAAGCCTCACGGAATTCCTGAGTTGAAGAGAAGCTGAAAGTATGGAGAGATAGAAGCAACTAGAGTTCATAGGATAGAATACCAGACAGGAGAGAGCTACACAGACAAAAACCCCAGAGACCTAAAGGGTCTCATCTGAGTATCCAGCAGAGTACTGATCAGTACATGAATGTGAGGAAACGATCTGAGGTCCAGGAGAGAACTATCCAGAAGGATAAGAGGGAACAGCTCAGTGCTCACACACTGCTGGGAATAGTGCTTGTTCCTACCATTCAGACCTGAAACATTCATAACTCATGGGGCATTAGGAAGAGTATTCAGGAAGACCTTGCTGCAGCAGTTGGGATTAAGAATTAGTCCTAGACTCAGAAATGCTCTGATTTGCCTAACAAATTATAAATGCAAGGCTCCAAAGGATCTATTTCTAAGTAACTTAATTGCATCCCAAAATCAAAGCTCAAGAAGATCTGAAGGAATACAAAAATATCCAGCAAGCAACAAAGTAAAATTCACAATGTCTGATCTCAAAAGAAAAATTTCCAGCCATGCAAAGAGGCAGGAAAACACAACTATAATGATGAGAATACACAATCAATCAAAACCAACCAACAACTAACACAGTAGTTAGAATACACAGATAACATGAGAAAAGATTATATTCCATATGTTCAAAAGTTATATTCCATATGTTCAAAAAGTTAAGAATAGACATGAAAGATACAAAAAAGACTGAAATTGAACTTCTAGAGATGAAAACTACAATGTGCATGATGAAAAATACACTATATGGGATTAGCAAATTAGATGTTAAATTTGAAAGTATAGCAATAGAAATTATACAAAATGAATCACAGATAAAAGAATCTAAAAAAATAAAAATACCTTCAGTGAGTTGTGGGACCATTTCAAATAGCCTAACATATAGGTCGTTGGGCAACCCTACTTCTGTAGTGATACTGCCTTGGAAACCCAAGGAGGGGTCGCTGTGAGTCAGGGCTGACTCAACGGCACATAACAACAACAACAACAACATATAGGTCAGAAGCACTGGTAGCATAGTGCCTAAGGCATCTGACTGCTAACCAGAAGGCTGGCGGTTCAAACCCACCTTGGAAGGAAGGTTGGGCAATCCTACTTCTGTAGTGATACTGCCTCGAAAACCCAAGAAGGGGTTGCTACGAGTCAGGGCCGACTCAACAGCACATAACAGCAACATATAGGTCAATGGAATCCATGAAGGAACAAACTGAGGGATGGGAAAAATAAATGAAGAAATGGTTGAAAGCTTTAGAAATTTAATGAAAATATCAAACTCATAGATACAAGGAGCTCAACAAAATCCAAGAACAAAAAATATGAAGAAAACCACATCAAGGCAACTCATAATTGAACGGCTTGAAAATGGTGATGAAGAAAAAATTTTAAAGCAGCCAGAGAACAAAGACATGTTACAAAGGAGAAAAATAAGGATGACATTAGATTTCTTGTAAGAAACAACATAAACAAGAAGATTATAGAGTAACATATTTAAAATCCTGAAAAAAAAAAAAAAGAAAAGACTGTCAATCTAGAATTCTATATCTGGCAAAAATTACTTTCAAAAATAAAAATGCAATAAAGATGTTTTTAGACATACAAAAGCTGAAGGAATGCATCACCAATAGATCTGCAACTAAAGAAATGTTAAAGAATATCCTTTAGACAGAAAAATATACCATGGGGAATATGTAAAAGATTTTTCTTATTATTTAAATATCTTTAAATGATATTAGACTGTTTAAAATAACAGCAATGTATTTTGGAGTTTAATACAAAGGTAAAATTAAAATGCATGACAAGGAAAGCACAGAGAGGTGAAATGGAGGTATATCATTGTAAGATTTAGTACTATATGTGGAACATATAGTACTTGAAGGTAGACTGTGGTAAGTTAGACACACCTATAAACCCTATAACAACTAACAAAATAACAAAACAAAAAGAGTTATAGCTAATATGCCAACAAAGGAGACAAAATAAAATCATAAAAACATACAATTAATTCAAAAGGCAGAAAAAGAGAAAAAAGGAATGAAGAACAGAGAGACTAATAGCAAACAAATAGCAAGATGAAATGCTCAAACCTAACCCTATCAGTAATCACACCAAAGTTAAATGGTCTGAACACCCCAATTAAAACCAGACACTGTCAGTTTGGATAAAAAGTCAAGACTCACCTACATGTTGCTAATAAGAAATGCACTTAAAACATAAAGACACAAATAGGTTAAAAAGAACAGGATTAATATATATATATATATATATATATATATACACCATGCAAACACTCATAAAAAGAAGGCTATAGTAGCTATATTAGTATCAGACAAAGAAGATTTTAGAACAAAGAAAATTATCAGGGATAAAGACCACTTCATAAAGATAAAAAAGTCAATTAATCAAGGAGTCTAATAATCCTAAACTTTTATTCACCTAACAACAGAGCTTCATAATACATAAAGCAAAAATTAAACCACAAGGAGACATACATAAATTCACAATTCGTCTGAAACTGCAAGATACCTCTCTCAATTAGTAATCAAATAGGCAGAAAACTGACAAGGATATAAGACTTGAACAACAATATCCACAAATTTGACCTGACTGAAAAGTGTGGAATACTCCACAGATATTTATGTTGTTAGATGCTGTAGAGTCAGCTCCAACTCATAGCAATCCTATGTACAATGGAATGAAACAGTGGCTGGTCCTGTGCCATCATCACAATCCTTGCTATGCTTGAGCCCATCATTGAAGCTACTGTGTCAATCCAGCTCATTGAGGGTCTTCCTCTTCTTCACTGACCCTTTACTTTACCAATCATGATATCCTTATCCAGGGAATGGTCCCTTCTGGCAACATGATCAAAGTAGGTGAGACCAAGTCTGGCCATTCTCACTTCTAGAAGGAGCATTCTGACTGTACTTCCTCCAAGATGTTCACACTCTTTTGCCAGTCCACAGTACATTCAACATTCTTTACCAACACCACAATTCAAATGCACCAATTTTTCTGTGGTCTCCCTTATTCATTGTCCAGCTCTCTCATGCATATGAGGCTATTGAAAATACCATGGCTTAGGTCAGGTGCAACTTAATCTTCAAAATGACATCTTTGCTCTTTCACATTTTAAAGAAGTCTTTTGCAGCAGATTTGCCCAGTATTATACGGTGTTTGATTTCTTGACTGCTTTTATGGGTATTGATTGTGGATCCAAGTAAAACAAAATCCTTAACAACTTCAATCTTTCCTCCATTAATCACAGTGTTTGTTATTAGTCCAATTGTAAGGATTTTTGTTTTCTTTTTGTTGAGGCATAATCCATACTAAAAGCTGTAGTCTTTGATCTTCATCAGTAAAGGCTTCAAGTCTTCACTTTCAACAAGCAAGGTTGTGTCATCTGCATACTGTAAGTTGTTAATGAGTCTTTCTCTAATCCTGATGCCACTGTTCTTTGTATAGTCCAGGTTCTCAGACAGCATATAGACTGAATAAGTATGGTGAAAGGATACAATCTCAACGTACACCTTTCCTGATTGTAAACCATGCAGTATCCCGCTGCTCTCTTTGAAAAATTGCCTCTTGGTCTACGTACAGGTCTTTCATGAGCACAATTAAGTGTTCTGGAATTCTCATTCTTTACAACGTTATCTATAATTCGCTATGATCCACATAGAAGGCCTTTGAATACTCAATATAGCACAGGTAAATATCTTTCTGGTATTCTCTGCTTTCAGCCAAGATCCATCTGCCATCAGCAATGATATCCTTCGTTCTACGTCTTTGTTTGAATTCAGCTTGAATTTCTGACAGTTCTCTGTCAATACACTGCTGTAACCACTTTTAGTTACATTCCGCAAAATGTTACTTGCGTGTGATATTAATGATATTATTTGATAATTTCTGCTTTCTGTTGGGTCACCTTTCTTGGAATGGGAACAGATATGGATCTTTTCCAGCCAGCGGGCCAGGTAACTGTGTACTAAATTTCTTGGTAGTAATAAGTGAGCGCTTCCAGTGCTGCATCCAGTTGTTGAAACAGCTCAGTAGTGGGTATTCCATCAATTCATGGGGCCTTATTCATTGCCAATTCCTTCAGTGCAGCTTTCACTTTTTCCTTCAACACCACCATTCTTGATTATATACTACTTCATGAAATGTCTGAACACTGATAAATTCTTTTTAGTACAGTGACACTGTGTACTCCTTCTATCTTCTTTTGATGTTTCCTGCATTGTTCAAAATTTTACCCACAGAATCCTTCAATGTTGCAAATCAAGGCTTGAATTTTTTCTTCAGTTCTTTCAGCTGAACAAATGCTAAGCATGCTCTTCCCTTGGTTTTCTAACTCCTGATCTTTGCACATTTCATTATAATACCTTACTTTGTCTTTTTGAGCTGCCCTTAAAATCTTCTGTTCAGTTCTTTTACTT